AGGAATGGGCACCCTGTTCACCCAGAGGGCCGGGGCTCCTGTACATCCAGGTGAACTCACTTGATATTGTCGTCCTGGTCTGCAAACTCCTCATCATTGAAGCCAAACTGATCCACGAAATTGGCTGTCATCTGCTGAATCTGATACTCGGAGAAAGCCTGGGAGGGACAGACATTGTCATAGAGCAGCCATGAACCTGGAGGCTGCTCTTGGGGAGCCACGACCTCTGGCTGCTCAGGAGCTTGTCCTGGCAAAAGTGGACACTAAATTCTGACTTTCTAGGACCAAGGCCTGTCAAACCAGGCAATGTGCTCACTGTGGTCGTGTCCACAGACTTTTAACACTTGCGTTTGCTGCTGCACCCCCAGTGGTCTCGTTGAGGTGAAGAGACTTTGGGGATCTCCCCCCAGATCTCCCTCCCCCATATGTGCTCAGGGCTGCCGCACCCCTGCACTAGTACAATGCTGTCAGGGTCACACCTGGAGGACTCAGCACTACTGAGCACACAGGTGCCCAAGGGCCGGGCAGGGTGCAACGCCGCCACGCCCTCACCTGCTGCAGGGACAGCTCGTTAGGGAAAGCACCCTCAATGTCCTCGTCCTCACTCGAGGAGGGAAGGTGGTGAGTGCTCACCTAGAACACAGGCCAGATGGGTGGGCATGGGAGTCAGCCTGGGCCCTCAGACACCACCCAGCTCAGTGCCCGAAGACCCCCTCCAGCCCGGCCTGGTGCCCCAAGGACCCTACACAGCCTGGCTCTTGTTACATCTATGGGTCTGGGAAGCTGTGCTGTAAAGAGGTGCCAAGGGATGGCCCAGCCTCCCTGTATGGTGGCACATGCTGGGTATAAGAAGCCCTTGGACAAGCTGCAGCTGCTACTGTCGGGGGAGGGACAGAGTCAACACTGGCTCTGCAGAGTCCCTCAGGGCACCAGCCTTCAGTGTGACACAGGGGCCACATGCTCGCAGGACACACAGGTGAACATATGAGATGAGCAGGGGGCATGGCCATCACAGGGAGGGGCGTGGCCATCTCAGGGCTGCCTTGCACCTCCCTTGGCCTGTGCAGCAGGGCAGAGTGTCTGGGGCCATCTGTCGGCGTCCTTGCATGGAGCAGCCCCAAGCCTCACCAGGTCCACAGTGTTCTTGCGGTTAGTCTCTGTCAGTGTCTCCTCCACGAAGCTCTCCCAGCGCCCTCGGCAATCTGCAGGGAGCCCTGCAGGAAGTTACTGGTTAGCCCTCCAAGACCTCAAGACCACAGTACAGGGTGTCTAAGAACTTCAGCAGGTGAAGGCAGGTCTAGGCCCTGGGTGGCCCAGCTGCTGCTGTGGTTAGCTCCCCTAAGGGCCTACCACGGGGACTGAGACAGCTGGGGGGCCAGCAGGGCTTCCAGCCACAGTGAGGAAGGGGTATACAACCCCGAGCAAAGCAGTCGGGAGACATCTTGTCTCTACAGAGACCTTAGCAGGAAGCAGAGTTCGGAGTTGACTGGGTGTGTAGGCCACCCTGAGGACTCCCAGAAATATAAAACCACAGTGTAGGGACCAGAAGATGGTGCAATAGTTATGTCGCTTCATGGTTTGAGTCCCAGACCTGACAGCTTAAACTCACACTGGGCGGGTGTGTATGCATGTCCAAAACCCCAAGAGGAGAATGGAGGAAAAGGGACTGCAATGTGGCCATCTCTCCTGGGGAGTGATTTCTAACTTTCTGTCTCTGTCTCTCCAGTAAGTGTATGCACCCTATAGCAAAAAATCTTTCAAAAAACAAAAACAAAACCACAGTGCAACTGTGAGAAAGCAACTGACTTTCTGCTATATTCTGCCCAACAGGTCCACCTTAGTGTGTCTGAGGTCAGAGCTCCAGAAAGATGTGACTGCCTGCATGCTCCTCACCTTCCCATCCCAGGAGCCTTCCCTGCCCGACCACCATCCCATTTAGGAGGCTGCTGGAGCATGACCAAGGACTCCTCTCTGGTCCTGGGAAGCCAGGGAAACACCAGGAACTACCTCACCTTACACTTGCCCAGGGAACCCTCAGATGGGGAGAAGCCATAGCTGCAATGAGCCTTAGGGGTGACCAGGTGACCAATTAAGTGGGGCCACAGGCCTGAGCCTGCCTCAGCCACACATGCCCTGTGCAAGTCAGACTAACCAGCTGTGCCTCGGTTTCCTCAGCCATACAATGAAGAACAAATTCCAATACTTTCCCCATGGGCAGTGGGGATTCAAAACTTGTACCTGCTCTGGGTTCATGAGCACCCAAGGACTGGCCCTGCTGCCACACAGGACTCTTACCAGTGAGACCAACTTCTTACCTTGGCATGGCCACAGCCCCAGACTGAGAGCCAGACCACTGACAGACTCAGTGTAAATGCTGTTCACCAAGCAAGAGCATCAACCTCAGGCCTACCTTGCCTGAGCTGGGAGCACTGTCCTGGTCATAAAAGCAGGTGTGGCCACCACCCACCAGCAAATTCGGGGCCTGATGGAGTCATGGCCCATCCATACTCACGATTCCCAAGCACTTTGAGTCCACCCATTCATCCACCTCAGCCATGTCTCCAGGTACTAGAGCCACTCCCTAGGCTCATGAGCATCACCTCCTCCCCAGGGAAGCCTCACAAGAGAGGCAGGCAAGGCCTTTCTGGCCTTTCCTTACCTAACCCGTGCACTCAGGCCAGGTGACAAAGATTATGGCGCAAGGACGAGAGGTTAGAAAGGAGGCAGAGCAGCAACCCTGCAGCACCACGCAAGCCAAGGCATAGGTCTCATGGTGGGTTCTGTGGAGGCTGCTCTGCTCAGGGTACAATCTAGGACTGCTCTCCCCCCCAGGCTTGGGCCCCACTGCCTGCTCCCCTTGGCTGTCCTGCAAGCCACAAAGCCAGTTGAGTTCAGAACACAGATGGGATGTAGACAGGCTGGAGGCATTCAGCCTGCACCACTGGGGAGCCTGGCAACATTCAGATCCTGAGTGCCAGCACCAGAGCCATGAAGGGCCTGCATGTGCTGACACCCTGAAGGGCTGAGCAGGCCCTACATCGTCAGGATGCCCTGAGGAGAGATGAGCTGCAGCAAGGCAGATGGCCACAGAGGCTATGGCCATCCTGGCCTCAGTGTGGACAGCATCGCGGAGGGGCAGGAGCTCACCTCGGATGACCTCGCTGATGTGGGTCTGCATGGGGCCCCGCTCCAGGTTCTGCACCACTGCATTGGCGATCCGCGTGAGGTGGCCCATGTTCCCACGTCTCATGCCACCTGCTGCCCTGAAAGCAACAGGATGCTGTGAGGGCAGCTTCTTGGTCCTCTGCCTACTCGCTGCTGGGAGGGCTGAGTGACCAGTCTCTACTGTAGCCTCTAGGCCAGGCCCTGGAGAAAGTACCTGGCTTGGCTCAGCGCCGACCCGCCCACCTCACCTCCAGGATGCTCACATCTGGAGGGCGCCCACCATGTGCCGCAGGCATGTTCCACTCTCATGACTGGGAAGTGCTAACAAGACAAAAACTGCTCCTACTCTTGTTTTACACATAAGAAAAGAAGCAGAAAAGCCACAGTGTAGGCCCAAGTCCCACCAGTGGCAGCAGTGGGTTTGGGTGACAAAGCAGGCACACCACTCAGCAGTGAGGGGCTGTGGAGGCCTCTGCCCACAAGCAGCACAGCCTCTGCTCTCCTCTCAGTCACCCAGGCTGGACCCTCTCATCACCCAAAGCCTGACTGCTCCATGCTGAGCCTGGAAAGGGTGTGGGTAAGGTGGGGGAGGGGCCCTGGGCATAGGAGAATATTCGGTTAAACAGAAAACACAGGAAGATCAAGACAAAAACACATTCCTGTACACAGGTACTGGCGAAGTACGCTCCAAGTCTTGGGAAGGCTCAAGAACAGACACACCCACACGCAACAAAGCCTGGGTGGGACAGGCCGGGAACGGCTGGAGCAGGCTCCCAGGGGGTAAGGGGCCCAGGCCTAGCATCCTGAGGCCTGCCCTTCTGGTTATCTCCCTGCATTCCCCTTCCTGAGCAGCCCTGAGTACAGGCCACACCGCATGCCCGACACCCCACACCCTACCCAGAGTCCACAGTTCTTTGTAGGATGTTGCCCTGGCCAAATGCAGCTCTGTGTCCCTGACTGGTGGGGGTGGGGGCAGGCCCTCAGGGCGCACCTCACAGTGCCCAGGTGGCTCTTACTGTGTGCGGTCGTTGGCTTCCCAGGCCTCCAGGATCCTCTGTACCAAACAGCACTTCTGGAACAGCTGGGGAGAAGGGGGTGGGAGTTGGGTCTGTGAGGCTGCACATACCCCCTCTGCCCACCCCTGGACTAGGTAGGGTCAGCTGCTGGTCACATCTGAATAGACTCTGTAGGCAATAAGCCAGGACATCAGCCCTGAAGACATGATGCCAACACTATGGTCCCAGCCTGAGTGGGCCTGATCAAACGCCACAGGCAGGTGCTGTCCAGTGTCCTGAGAATGGAGACCAGTGTGGCCAAAGGCTCTTCTTTTTCCTCAGTCCCCTGCTCTGACCCTGGCTGCTAGTATCCCCATGCCCCTTCCACCTCTGACCCTCTTCCATTTCCTGCTCTTGGGCCCTCAATACTGTTTCTCACCTCTGGGTCAGGATACAGGCCCTTTCCTGCCCTGAGCTTCAACTGGCATCTGACTCACCAGGGTCTGCTAACTACACGGGGTCCCTCGCTGGCCTACAGCCTCAGCTGACCCTTCCCTCCATGTGACTCTGTCCTGGGCAGCTAATCTGCTGGGTTGTTAGCTGTGGCCAGACAGAGGCCAATCTGTTCAATCTCAGGCCCCTGCCAGGCCCGCAGAGTGTGCTCAAGACACCTGTCCAGGGTCAGCAGAGCAAGACTGCAGAGGCCATTCGACACCCACTGTCTGAAGGCCTCTGACCAAAGACCTGGGGCTCCTTTCTCAGCCTCTGCCCTCTTGTCTGCCACATAGCACAGTCCAGGCCATACCCTACTGCCCGGCTTTCTAGAACAAGAGGCTACAGTGGGGTCTGAGACCCTTCTCAATCTCATGGTACCAGCTGCTCTGTCCCTATGCCCTGTAATCACTTGCTAAGGTGTGATGCCAAGTACAGAGAAGGAGTGACAGTAGAGGGCAACTGTGGGAGGGAGGGCAACCATGTGGCAGCTCAGAGAACAACAGTATAGGATAAATAGCATCAGGGGAGAAGCAGAACTTGAAAGGAGGGATGGCACCTGGGGGAGACCACACCTAAGGAGACACTGAACCTGAGAGCGAGCACCTGGGAAGACTGCACCTGAGGGGAGATAGTACTAGGGATAGAGAGCATCTGGGGGACAGACAGCACCTGGCGGGGGAGATGGTACTTGGGGGAGACGGCACCTGAAGGGGAGGTTAGCACCTCAGGGCCAGTACCTGGGGAGGCACTACCTTGGGTGCCAGCACCTGGGGTGACAGTGCCTGTGGGGAGGGGACAGCACCTGGGGGAATGCCTGTAGGAGCTGCTCTCAGATGTCTACGTGACTCCCTTGGCTTTGGGGCTTGGGCCATGTGGGGTGCAGCCCACTTGGTGTAGCCACTGCCTCCCCTCATGCTTCCTGTCTCTAGCTCTGATTCTGCAGACATGAGTGTTCTCTTGGGCATTCTAAGTCCTTGTGGAATAAGGTTACTGCCCACCCTATGTGAGGGTTAGAGAACATGCAGATGGGCCCAGAGAATGCTAGCCATAGGCAACACACCATCAAAGCTACTGCCCACACACATGGGTGGGGCTCAGCAACAGTGACAAGCAGGACACCAGCCTGACTTACGTGGGTCACCATTATGTTCTCCGGGGGGGCAGCAGCAGGCGGGGCCTCTGTGCTCCTGTTCCCGTTCCCGTTGCCATGCGGAGGCTCCACCCTGCTCTCAGGTCCACCGGCTTCTGCCCTCTCCTCCCGGGCAGCGTGGGAGAGTATAGCGGCTATGCATAGTTCCACTTGGAAGTGTAAAAAGTTATTCCAGGTGTACTTAAAAAATAAGTCCTGGGTAAACAGAAGACAGAAGGAAGTTCTTAGGTGGTTTCATCACCACCTGATAGGCGCCAACAGTGTGAGCGGTGTGTTCAGACACTTCCGGCAGCCCAGCAGAGGTTCTGGCTGTCTTCTGCTGACCCATCTCTCCTACTGCCTCTTCCAAACCAGGGTGGAGAGGGGCAAAAAGGCACAGCTACCTGCCCTTCAATCTCTGACCTCCTGAGCTGGCAGGGTGGGGGGACACAGGCACACCTCTACTGCCCCTATTGCCACCTCACATATACCAGAAGCCAGGCAGCCTATATCTCAGACCCTCTGCTTCCCTATATGGAGAAGGAGAGAGGTTGTGCTTGGGTATCAAGACTGGGAATGGGGTAGACATCACACCAGGGAGTTGAGAGTTAGACAAGTCAGGAAGTCCATCTACTTGACGTGCTCCGCCTCCTCTTGTGTCCTCCACCGACACGGTCCCACATCCTGGCCTCACCTTCTCTGCCTATGTGAGCTCACCTGCAACATGGAGTCAGGCTCACCTCCCCACAAGGGACAGCCAGACTAGATGGCTTCACTGGTGAAGTCTTTCAAACATTTAAGAAATGCTAATACCAACCCTCGCACGCTCCCAAAAAATTGAAGAAGCGAGAATACTTACTAATTCATTCTGTGAGACCAGAATTACCCCGATGCCAAAGCCCAACAGGACTCTCCATAAAACTACAAACCAGTACTGCTAATGACTGCTGATGCAAAATACCAGCAAATCAAATCCAGCATCACAGTAAAAGAATTATATACCATGACAGAATGGGATTTTTTTTCCTGGAATGTAAGGATAGTTCAAAATATGAAGGTCAACCAAAGTAATATACCACATTAATACAATAAAGGATGAAAACCAAATTACCATCTCAATTCACACAGAAAAAGCATTTGAAAAACCTGACACATTTTTTAAGAGTTTTTTTTTTTTTTTTCCTTTCCTCCCTCCCCCCCCCCCCCACGGGCGCT